AGAGAGAGAGAGAGAGAGAGAGAGAGAGAGAGAGAGAGAGAGAGAGAGAGAGAGAGCCTATGTTCATGGTTAAATTTTCCTCCTAGGTGTTGAGGGTGTTTATGATGACTATAAAAGGCAAAAAACGAACAAAATGACTCGGAGGCAAGTGCCTTTGTTTTCCTATTACTAGTAGCTAAGACCCATTATCAAATAAAGAGTTGTACCAACTAAAGTGTTACAGGCTTTAAAGGCACATGTTCGTGATTCTTTTGCAGGACCCCTGCAAGATGTTCCATTGTTTGCAGGAGGTGGCTTGGTGCATGATCGGTTGCGCTGTTGAGTTCCATTACCACATGTGACACTACACTGAGACCAGGAAGACCAGTCTGAAAACCGTCCAGAAACTGCGAAGATATTAAATAATAGATTTGTCGATTTGCAATGTCAATTTGTAAACAGTAACCAATTATCAAACGGCATCGGACAATGAGCAAGTGTTACTGGGCGAATAAGGTAAAGATCAACCAAAGATATGGTAGTATTTTTAAATAGAGACCAAACCAGTTATATAGTCAGCCCAAGGTTATAGCTTTAGTTTAATGCAAGAGACCATGATCTCTTGTTTTGATTTAAAAGACCTTTCGATTGAAAGTCCTTTTGAAACGCAACCAAGAAAAGCACCAGAAAGTCGTCACATGACCCAAATATATGTCGGATAACACAAAAGGTCCCGGCCACTTTATGGGAAATATTCTGCTTTTTACACCGACGGAAAAAGGGACGCCATTTTGTTCTACACATAAGTGAATAGCAATAAAGTATTTCCGAACTCAGCTTGACCTCGGATGACTAGCCAACGAGAGAGCCAAAGTTTTGAAGTATATACTAGCAGGTCATATAGTTGCCGGTTATCATCAGCCTAAGGGTGTCAATTACCGATATAATACTAGCAACACCTACTGTCAAAACAAAGCTTATCCGGCATTATTAGTTCATTAATTATACTGTTTAATTTCAAATCCTTGTTTGCAACAAAGGAAAAGACTAAGTTTGTCTAAATTAACGTTATAACTCATCCAGGTTGGAAGCTTCTTGAGTACTCTACAAACTGTCTAAGTGCATCATCAATACTTCCTTTGTTTTACTTTAACCTGATAATATCTGCTAGATTTGATTTGCTAGACTGGCGACGGTCATTCATGGGTGAAAACCATTAAATGTTTACCTGATGTTGGACATATTTCAAGGGGACATAAGCGTGTTTCCTGAGCAGGTCCCGGGCATGTTGTTTCATTGTTTCTAGGTTTCGAGTTGTTGCAAGATCGGTTGCGCTGTTGAGTTCCATTACCACATGTGACACTACACTGAGACCAGGAAGACCAGTCTGAATACCCTCCAGCAACTGCGAAAATATTAAATGATGGATTTGTTTATAAGCACTGTTATATTCTCTGTATTCAATTCTAAGGTGTAAACTAAGTTTATGCCAAATTTGATGTTCCAGACTCGCAACGGTCATTCATAGGTGACACCCGTTCAACGTTTACCTGGTTTCGGGCACATTTCATAGGAGCATATTTGTGATTCCTGAGTGGATCCTTCGCATTGTTTTCCACCGTTTGTAGGAGGTGGATTGGAGCACGATCGATGACGCTGTTGAGTTCCATTTCCACATGTGACGCTACATTGAGACCAGGAAGACCAGTTTGAAAGCCCTCCATCGACTGCCAAAAGAAAACAAATTAATGGATTAGCTAATCATTGCTACATAAATATTACAAACTTTCATACCTGTAGAAGCCAAACGAGGAATTAAAATCTTGGGGATACCTTTTTTTCCCCCACCATACTTATAGAACGGACGATAGCCGATAACGAAACCATAACGACATGCATGAAATTTGGTTTCACCAAGGATCACCCTCACAGGTCCTTTGTCTGAGTTGGTGCCGAAATTCCAGCAAAAATACATTTTTGTATGCATTCAAGTTTTACTTTTCCCCAGTTTTATTTTACAGTGGAACCTTGTTAATCTGGTCACCAATGGACCAAAAAAATCTGTCCATATTAAAGGGGTTGTTTAGGTAAGAAAATGAATGACTGAGCTTTTTTTCGGGCCAGATTAAGTGACCGTATTAATAACGAATTGGCAGTAAGGCGGGGTTCCACTGTACAGCACAAAATCGTTTGTAAATAATAATGGGGGCTTATATTTTTCATCACATGGTGCATCTTTTAAACTAGATATATCTATTTAAAGGAAAAAAAACATGATCTTCTCAAACTCATCGATGATTCATTGCGTTATAACGGGAGATCACAATTAATCGTGACTGTGACTTGCGGTTGTAACTTTATCAATTTCTCGGTTTAGTTTTACCTAGCGAAAATTTGGTTTTTGCTCCTATCAAAACTTTATACAATGTCGAGTAGCAAAAGTTCATTGTCATTTTAAACTGCCAGGGGCTGTGGGCACCAGGATATATTAACATCTTCTACAGGAATAAACAAGATTAGCCAAAAAAGGCGGACGTTCTAAATTATGACCATTCACGATATATAAACATTGATGCCATTCCACAGAAAACACAGCCAATCAAAGTACAGGAAAACCGTTGAATTTTCTATGGCATGGTATAAAAAGGTTTATTATCTAACTGACAAAATCATTTTATCATGATTGGCTGAGAGCAGGGCAATTTATCGTTAACTTTAATTTAAACTGCAGTGCAAATTAAGGCAAGGGCATTCGTGATTTCCGCCCAGTCATATAATAAATGAGTAATCGTGGGAAGGCTCGAGCAATTAAGGATTTGCACTATGCGTAATATTTGAAAATTCTTTCAAATTGCAAATATCAAATCTCAAATATCAAATATCACCCGTAGTTTAAATCCTTAATTGCCCTCGCATTCAAACAATCACCTATACTAGTGCAAATGCCAAAAAATACAAGTGACTCGTAGAATATCACTCAAATACGTTGCATAACCTATGTATGTATAACATTCATTTCTTTCCAGACGATATAAGTCGTCTACCTGGGCACCGGTGTTTTTTACATGTCCGTGACTCTTTAGCTCGTCCCAGTCGACTACAGTCTCTTCCTCCGTTTGCAGACGGGGGATCGGTGCATGAACGATTACGATGTTGCTTTCCTCCGCCACATGACCTGCTACACTGAGACCAATGAGACCACTGCGAATATCCACCATGAACTGAGAAGAGACGTTTGAAAAGGCAAGTATAGGTAATTAGACACAAAACAAAGATATTAACATAGTAGTTAATGTAGACTACAAGTGGTCCCTCTAAGTCCGTGGTCCTTTCTTAGTCCTTCGAGCGAGACCGTAAGTAAACAGCAAGGAAAAAAAATGGCCACGTGAAATCCTGGGGCCGAGAAGCGTGCAATAGCAGAGACTACCGACAAAGGCAGAGAGTTTGAATTATGCGTTGTTCTCAAAATGCAGAATATGATTGGCTTATGTTAGGAACGTCGACAAAGTGTGTCAACATTAGAGATAAGTGTGATGTCTTGCAGGATATTTATCCGACTTGCTTTGGAACCAAAGCAAATCGAAGCGCTTCGCTGGCGGTGATGTTCTTGCGATTCCGGCAACAGGCATTGGAAAGAGTTTAAGAGTGAATGCCTACAAAAATGGACCTAAATCGCCTATCCATGGCACAAGTCGAAAAATTGATTTCGCTTGTATTTTGTCCATAGATAGGTCCTAGTAAGAATAGAAACGGACCATAGTTAGTTTCTGCTAATACAGC